AATTACGTTTTAAAAATTTTGACAGAAATATAGGGAATGATCAGTGAATCTCGTTTCTAAAAATTTTGGTGAATAAGCAGTTAAATTCGTTTTTCAAAATTTTAGTAGAAATAGGTGGAATGATCAGTAAATCTTGTTTCTAAAAATTTTGGCAGAAATAGATAGGAGGGTTAGTGAACCTTATTCCCAAAAATTTTGCAGCGAAAATTGTAGAGGTAAAAGTCTGTGAATTTTATTTCCTAAAAATTTTGGTAGAGATAGATGCAATGACCAGTGTAATTCGTTTCTAAAAATTTTTGCAGAAATATATGGAATAATTATTAAAATTTGTTTCTAAAAATTTTGATAGAAATAGATAGGAGGGTTAGTGAATCTTGTTCGCAAAAATTTTGAAGCGGAGGTCGTAGAGTTAGAAATTTGTAAATTTTATTTCCCAAAAATTTTGGTAAAAATAAATGGAACGATCAGTGTAATTCGTTTTTAAAAATTTTGATTGAAATAAATGGAACGATCAATAAATCTCGTTTCTAAAAATTTTGGTAGAAGTAGATGAAGTAATTAGTGAATCTTGCTCCTAACAATCTTGAAGTGGAGGTTGTAGAGGTAGAGGTCTGTGAATTTTGTTTCTTAATTAATTATTTGGTAATGGTAGTGGTAACGTAATATTAGCAACGCATGGTAGCGTGCTGTTTCGTTAATTAAGAAAAATTGAGATTAATTATAAGATAGGGGTAGTTATGGTTGCGACCAGGTTTTACGTTATACGGGATAGTCGATTATGTGTACAAAAAGAAACGAGGTAATTAATTCTGGTATTTGAGGATAAAATGGCTGACTTTATTTAGTCAAACAGAAAACGAGTAAATAAATATATATGATATAATTATTTGTATAATAATATACAGGATGAACGTTTTATCTGGACTTTTCGGGAAGTATTTCAAAGGAACAGAAGATATTAAAAATTTGTCATTACAGGAATTATTTTTCTATCTAAATTAATTTTTTCGAATGAAATACTATATTTTTTCATCCGTAATTAATAATAATAATAATCGTTAAGATAATCCATAAAAATTACCAAAAGTATAATAATATTAAGCATTTGCATAATTTGTAAATAACTATATACAAGCATTCAAAATTAAAAATTATAAGCAATAAAATATTTTCGAATAATTTAACATAATTTAAAATAATCAAAAATAGAATAGCCAATTAATGTACACTAAAATAATATTAAAATACGAACATATGGAATCATAATAGTAATTATGATGCTTATATGCACATACACACATTGACAAAATATAAAAGTTTACATCACTGTTTAAAAAATTCGATTTAAATGAAACAATACCAATTTCTATATAATTTAAATCGAATAATGTGTATATTTTATTAAACAGTGATTCTCAACTTGTACATTGAACATTCTCAGATATTAAAATTCTGTATTATGTGATATACCATAATTAATACACACTATACACTTATAAAATGGCATAACCGGTAACTCTTGATCGCATTATTAGTTAGGAAATTTTCATAGCAATCTTATAATAATAATTCCTACTTTTAAGAATGATCTACAATTTTTTCCACTGTTGCACAAATTTGTATTTATTAAATAATATTATTAATAATATTATCTTATAATAATATTTCACTCTTAATGTAACATCTCAACATCAATAGACTCTGTGGAAAAATCAGAAATGTAATACTTACACAGAGAAAGATCCAAAGAACACTTTCTGGTGACCAATATTTTCCAGTTTAATTTGAAAAATCACGAATGTAAATGAAAAGTAAGAAAACACTTGTACAAAAATACATGTACGTGATCTACAATATTTATAAGGCAGCAGTGCAATTTATTTCTACTTTGTCACACCTTCTGGTGACTAAAATCTTTTAATTTAATTTAAAAAATCGCAAATATAAATAAAAAGTAAGAAAACATTTGTACAAAAATACATATACGTGATCTACAATATTTATAAAGCAGCAGTGCAATTTATTTCTACTTTGTCACACCTTCTGGTGACCAAAATCTTCCAATTTAATTGGAAAAATCACGAATATAAATGAAAAATAAGAAAACACTTGTACAAAAATAAATAAAGATACGCGATCTATTTATAAGGTAGCGGTGCAATTTGTTTCTACTTTGTTTTCGATTTTTGTGCCTTAAAAGGATAGGTGATGGATAGATGACATCTCATCGATTGCCCGCTTATCGCAGTTGATCGCGAATAAAGTTCGTCGGGCAATCACGCCCGTTTCAACTCACGATCAGATTAGAATTCTGTCTCCTGGACGGACACGCGCACGCATGTTCTACAATGCATAATTCACAGTTCTCGTTCGTGGGAGGAGCACGTTTGTGATTTTACCTATAAATCTGATAGTCGTGGCTGCCCGTTTCGCCGGAATAATGTATTAAGTCTGCACACTTTTAAACACGATGGAAATCGATTTTAAGGAAAAACAATTCCTCTTTTTTACTTAAAAGTTTAGTTACACTTTTATATTTCTATGTTTCTCGAATTGAACCTGACGATTCGATGAAAATTACTTTTTCGAATTTAATAAATTAATATTTTTGAATTAATTTAGTTTTTGTATTTCTATATTTTTATATTTTATATATTTT